CTCCTATCCATCTTCGTGTTTATATTGTTGGATCTGCTGCCTTCTCTACTTCTGAACCTACCTCCTATCATGAGGCTTGTACTAATCCTCTTTGGCAGCAAGCTATGACTGATGAACTCCAGGCCTTGGACAAAGCTCATACTTGGGATCTTGTTGATCTTCCTCCTGGCAAGACTGCAATTGGCTGCAAATGGGTTTACAAAATCAACACACATTCTGATGGCTCTATTGAACGCTACAATGCTCGTCTTGTTGCCAAGGGTTTCAACCAGGAATATGGTATTGATTATGAGGAGACATTCTCTCCTGTTGCTCGGCTTACCTCTGTCCGCAGTTTACTTGCTGTTGCTGCTGCTCGCCACTGGGGGCTCTTTCAGATGGATGTCAAAAATGCTTTCCTCAATGGTCATCTTCTTGAGGAGGTCTACATGCAACCTCCACCTGGGTCCACTTTTCCACCTCATCAGGTTTGCAAACTACAGCGTGCTCTCTATGGCCTCAAGCAAGCGCCTCGTGCTTGGTTTGCTACGTTCAGTTATACCATTCATGACTTCGGGTTCATCTCTAGCCCCTATGACTCTGCTTTTTTTATACGGACTACTTCTCATGGTACCACTCTTCTTCTTCTGTATGTGGATGATATGATTATCACTGGTAATGATGAAGCTGGTATTCTCCATCTCAAACAGTTTCTCCACCGACAGTTTGAGATGAAGGACCTTGGTACTCTTACCTACTTCTTAGGACTTGAAGTCTCTCATGATTCTACTGGTTCCTATTTGTCCCGGGCCAAATATGCATCCGATCTTTTGGCTCGTGCTGGTCTTACTAATTGCAAAACTACCTCTACTCCAGTTGATCCTCAGATTCGTCTCACTCCTCTTGATGGGACTCTTCTCTCTGATGCTACTCTTTATCGCCAGCTCGTCGGCAGTCTTATCTACCTCACAGTAACTCGTCCTGACATTGCCTATGCTGTTCACATTGTCAATCAGTACATGTCGGCTCCCCGCACTCCCCACTATACTGCTCTACTCCGCATCCTTCGCTACCTCTAAGGCACTCTATTCCATGGCCTTCACTTCTCTGCTTCCTCCTCTCTTGAACTGCGTGCCTTTTCCGATGCTGATTGGGCTGGGAATCCTACGGATCGACGCTCTACCACGGGTTTCTGCTTCTTCTCAGGGGATTCTCTTCTTGCTTGGCGTAGCAAAAAACAATCCCTCACTGCCCGCTCTAGCACCGAAGCTGAATACCGAGCTCTTGCTGATACTACTCAGGAACTTCTCTGGCTTCGCTGGCTTCTTGCTGATATGGGTGTTTCTTCTTCTGGTCCTACCCCTCTCTATTGTGACAATCAGAGTGCCATTTAGATTGCTTACAATGATGTTTTTCATGATCGCACCAAACATATTGAGATTGATTGTCATTTCATTCGCCAGCATGTTACCTGTGGTACTGTTCATCTTCTCCCTATTGCTTCCGTCGATCAACCCGCTGATATCTTCACTAAGGCTCATCCTCCTGGCCGCTTCACTGATCTTGTTTCCAAACTCAACTTGGTTGATGCTTTCCCTCCTTGAGTTTGCGGGGGGATGTGAGTATATTATATGTTAGCATTGTATATTATTATATGTTAGTATTGTTATTATTATGTTTAGCTTTAGCTTTAGTACTGTTATTATTATGTTTAGCTTTAGCTTTAATAACAAGCTAGCTTTATGCTTTCGGCTAGCTTTATGCTTTCGGTGCCTCGCATCCAATGTACATCACAGGCTATAAGAAGAGAGCTAGGCTCCCTTTGTAAATTAACAAAATTATATACACATCTCATTTATTCACTTGCTCTCTCTCTCTCTCTCTATCAATTTATCTTACAAATGTAACTGCGACATTTCATTGTACACTTAAAACACTCTAGTATATTCCATGAGCATCAAGAGTCCATGTAAAGAAGCTTACCATTAAGTTTTGATTTCTGATGTTGAAATGGATGTCGACAGTTCCATGTACAGTATTGTTGATTGATTTATGAATTTTTAGGAAATAATATAGAACTAGCAAAGAATGGGAAAAAATGCATATTGAAAGTGGAGTTTCAAACTGTGGAAAGTATTAGTTTTAGATTGTTGTCATGTAATGCGTCTCAATATGTACATATTTGTGATGACTATTTCATTACCACCCATAAAAAACCACTAAACTATAAGAGCAGATAAATTGCTGTTAAAACATGTATGGAGCATGCTATCTAAAATTTGTGGCACATTCAGGTTTGCCAAGGAAACCCGGTATGCAGTACACTGGTCATGATTATCTGTTGCAAATCTGATTGTTGTTTGTTTAACCGCAATAAACAATCTATTGTGGTTATGAATCTTTAGCATTTTAGTTCAAATGGAGTTGAGCTCCCAATTAGCAGTCTAAAAGGATTGATGTAAGGGAGGAGTGCCCTTTTTATATTGACTCTTTCGTACAGCTCATTGATAATCTATATATGCCTCTAGATATATAGCTTTTAGCTTGATTTTTGTGTACACCTTCTCTTCATTTTATTTGTGGTTCTAATAATAATCAAATAGCAGATGTAAACATTATTGTACTTATTGCTAGGTTTCTTGTGCCTTCTCTGTGCTTTCCATTTTAGCAGCTGTTCTTCAGGCTACAAGGCAATCCTATCTGCAGCTTTGCAAACATAAGAAATATAGACCAATTCTGTGGACCCGGCGCTGGAGGGGATGACATTCCTGTAAAGTCAACAAATTCAACTGTGATTTGTCCTATTCATGCATGTCCCATAGATGATAACTTTGACTATATCCCTGTATCTCCACTGCCATGCTTTTGTGCATCACCTATTAGAATTGAGTATTGGCTGAAGAGTCCTAGTTTCTCTTATTTCCCTCCATATGTTTATCCATTTGAGATGTACTTGACAAGTTCTCTTAACTTGGACCTTTATCAACTATCTATTGAATCGGTTATTTGGGAAAAAGGACCTCGTCTGAGGATGTATTTGAAGCTTTTCCCAACGGTCAATAATGGTCACTTGAGCACTTTCAATATAAGTGAGATTCTTCGAATTAGAGGCATATTCACATCGTGGGAATTTCCAGGTACTGACTTGTTTGGGCCTTATGAGCTTCTCAGTTTCACTCTTGTGGGACCATATTCATATGGTAAGCACTCAAACCGACATCTTTTTCTAAGTTGAATTGAAGTTTTGAGAACCAATGATTCTGAAAATCATATATGTTTATGGCCTTTACAATATTCAGTATGATTTATGATGTGTTTGATTGGGGGTTTTGAGGAGATATGGAAAAGGAAATGGAAAAGGTAAGTGAAATGTGAATAAAATATACCTACATTTCACCTAATTTCACACACCTTTTCCCATTCACTTTCTAAATTCCTTCCCAAATCCCGCAACCAAACACAGCATTAGTGGAACTTTGTCCTCAGATACAACTGGTTGTTGGAAGAGGATTCCAGCTGCCACCCCCAAATAGTTGTGTTTTATACCTTTCCTGAGTTGTTTGTACATACATATGCAGATGTTTACATTAATCACTACGGGAAAAAAGTAAAAAGCAATACTAAGCAAACATTTATTCGTATTTATATTTATTTTCCTGGGAATTGTACCCTCATATGAATTGTTATTGTTGTAGTGAATTTTGAGACTGGTGGGAAAACTATAAGCAAGGGCATTTTGATAGCCATTGTTTTAGCAGCTGTTGCCTGTGCTGTCACAACCTCTACAGTAGTCACATTTTTTGCTGCCAGAAGACATTCTAGAAACCAGCATACCATTTCAATTAATAATTTATGTGAGTTGTTCTATATAAATACTGAAAGTTAATTCTCTTTATCAATTTTATCATTTATGAGAATTACAAAGGAGAGCCACTCCGTTATAATCTTTGCAACCTCAAAGATGTCTATAAAAATTGATGGCGTTAAAAGCTTCACCCTTGAAGAAATGGCATTGGCAGCTGACAATTTCAATAGATCAAGTCAAGTTGGCCAAGGAGGTGATGGGGAGGTTTATAGAGGAATTTTATCTGATAACATAGTTGTGGCTATAAAGCGTGCAAAAGAAGGGTCTTTTCAGGGGGGAAAGGAATTCTTGACAGAGATAGAAATGTTGTTAAGGTTACATCATCGAAATCTAGTTTCATTGGTTGGCTATTGTGGTAAAGAAGGAGAACAGGTATGTTATGTTGGGAAGTTTTTCAACTGAATATGAAAGCAACAATTCACATGTGAATCCAATGTTGAGATATGAAAGATACATTCATATCCCAATAATACATTCACATGTGAATCCAAAGTTGAGATATGAAAGATACATTCATATCCCAATATAAACTTTTCCATAACAAAAAAAAAATAAAATAATAATAATAATAATTGCTAAACATAGCATTTTTTTAGCATTTAGTTAAAAACAAAAAATAAAATAATAACTAAAAAAGAAAGTGCTAAACCAAATGTATTATTGTTTGCATTTTTTTATTTTACACAGACATGATTAACCAAATAATTAGATTTTTTTTATTAAAAAAAAAGAGAAGCAAACAAAAAGGAAAATAACAACTAGGTCATTTCTCGATTGTGCAATGAAAGTATCAAGACAAATAAATAAAATTTTATCGATGACTATTCCAGAAATTATTGATGAATAACAAAATATAAAATTATATACATTTGTAAGACATAGACTTTCATTAAAAAAAATATAAATAAATAAATAAACAAACAAACTTTCATTAGGTAATTAAAGTTTTGATTTTTTGTTTATTTATTTATTTAATTTTTTGGATTCAGCAGCTGCTGCTGCTTGGGCATGGTGGCATTACTAAAAGAGGTTTTTCTACTCAACAATTGAATTGAGAGAATACATACATACATGCGTGTGGGCGTGGTGGCATTACTAAAAGAGGTTTTTCTACTGAAAAATTGAATTGAGAGAATACATACATACATACGTACACACGGCTTGCTTTTCTTTCTTTGTTTGCTGGTTTTTCCCCAAAACAACGAGTAGATTACAGATAGAGTTAGTTAGGTCTGCATTTAATTAGGGTTTACTTTACGCGTTGTTTTGGTGGACCATGATACGAGGCCACTACGAGCTTTTCTCATTGCGAATTTCGATTCAAATTTTTCACCATTCCAGTCTTTTCTCACTTCCCAATCCAATTGTGTTCCTTAATTCTAATTTCTGTTAATTTTTGTCTTTTTAAAACTATCCATTTTGTTTTCTGTATAATTGCTGAATTCTTTGACACCTGGATGGGGGTAAGTGGATTTCATTGTTTGAAATCGATTTCTGATGGATTTAGCATGTTGCGAGGATTTATAACCCCCACTTTCACTTTGAGAAGAGCAACTTCTTTGATTTCTTCATTTGTGGCCATAGAAAATGTTGTTATGTTTCCTAATTACGGTTAGTAATTAGTTTTTGTAGTCTTAGTTGAATGTGAATTGGGATTTCAGAACAAATGCTAGCTGTCGATTGATCATGTGAGTTTTGGTGAAAGGGGGAGTCTTTGGGTTGTTAAATTATGTGATATTGGTTTGGTAGTAAAGCTATATATACTTGTTGTGAGATCTTTTTGCTTATGTAAGTTATATATTGTTTCGGTTTTGTCATCCTGCAGACATTGGTCCAACCTCGGTTCCAACTACATGTCGGTATCTGATTTTCTTGCTGATTCTTTTACTGGGATTTAATCAGGATGTGTTTTAGTTGATCATGTATGTGCATCTGACAATCAAGTTAAAGTGGGTGTGGATAAGATTGAGTTGAAGGCTTTGGAGCAACTTCTACTCTGGTTGATTCTGTGACTATTATTGGATGTTTCTTTTGACATTCCTGAGTTGAGAAATAATTGTCTTTCGGCGTGCGTACAACCAAAAATGGATTTGAGATTTAAACAGGTCCTGTTATTTATGCTATTTCTTGTGGTTTTGAATGGTTATGCCACAGCAGAGTCAGAAACAGAGAGTTTACCAAGGTTAAGAGCTGCTCCATTCAGGAATACAGGGGGTAGCGTTATACATGGCATAGGAACAGAGGATGTCCTTATATCTGATAGTGATACGAATGGACTGGATGAAAGGAAGGTTGGAAGTGGCAGAGTCTCAGTGTCCGCAGTTGCATTTCTCACGCTGGCAATGGCTGCTGCTACAAATTTAGGTGCAATACCATTCTTCTTTGTGGAACTTGATCCCCAGTGGGCGGGAATATGCAATGGGATGGCTGCTGGGGTGATGTTGGCAGCAAGCTTTGACTTCATACAGGAAGGACAAGAGCATGGTAGTGGAAATTGGGTTGTGTTTGGAATTTTGACAGGTGGAATTTTCATTTGGCTTTGTAAGAAGGTGATGACTCTCCATCTTTCATCTTTTGAAAAATGGGAATTTTTGCTTTCTGTAATATTACCAAGTTTTATTTCTATTACTATTGTCATTGCTATTGCTGATCGACCATAAGCAATCCTAACTCATGTTATTAATTGTTGGTAGTGTTACTGCCATTATTCCTGTCGTTGTCATTGTTGTTATACTCTTCACATCCCTAATTCCAAGTTTCCTGATGAATGCTCTTGTAACTCGATTTACATGCTTGACTATTTTTCCTAGCATGTTTATGTGAGGACAGTTGGTGATGGTGGCATCCAAGTTTCCTGATGAATGCTCTTGTAACTCGATTTACATGCTTGACTATTTTTCCTAGCATGTTTATGTGAGGACAACTGGTGATGGTGGCATTCATTTTTTAAAAACCACCTATGGTCGTTTTGACATGTGTCCAATAAACCTTCTTTTTGAATGGTCTAGCAATGCAGAAAAGAGTCTAAAATAAGTGATTTGTCTTGTCGATTATGAAAATTCATTTTTGTACTTGCTCAGTGATTCATAGTGTTATTTTATTTGTTGAATTTTTTTTTTTAAAGTATGCAGCGTATTCCCAAGTTTTTGTCCATACTAGCTGTCAAACGGGTATCCAAGTTCCTAATTTCTTCCTTCACTATAAAGCATATGCCCCTTCACAGAGTCCAAATCCATCAATAAGAATCCTATAACCAAAAACTTTTTTTCAAAAGAAAAACCATTGCGCTATGTATCTTGGTCAAAGGATACACTAATTTGGCATTGAATCATAATTTTTACAGATAGTGCATGTTACCTTCTTCAGAATTATATCCAACTATATAAGTTTATGCTTCTAAGCCCATGAAGTGTGATCCTTAAACTTGCTAAAGCTAACTTTCCATGTCTTTTTATTTTGCCGGAAGCTTATTGCCTACCAATGCAACAGAGTTTAGTTGTGCTAAACATATTGGAGTTACAAGAATAATATGCCACCCCTTTCTGCCACATATATAATCATTAAAGTGGAAAGTGTATCAATTTAAGTTTTTGTAATTTGTTTCCATAAAAGATAACAGAAAAAGTATATTCATTTTAGAATAATGTACCAGTAATTTGGAAAGTCTGAATGAAGTGTGGATAAGCTAAAGAGTCATAAGTGCTAAAATTTTCTAGTATTCCATAACCGAAGCACCTCTTCATCATATCTTTTATTTCAAATTTGAATTTCCATGTTGGTGACATCACTTTGATTTTTCAATCAGGGTATTTGTTTGCTTCTTTGTGGAGTTTGTACTGTTACACCGTTGTCAACTTCATTACATACTTCCCTGTTCGTATTGAATTTTAATTGTATTATAAGACAATATAGCAATTAAGTGAATCACAGCTTCAATAACTTAGATGTCTTGTTCTTGATGTTTCAATACCAAGACTTTGGTGAGCGGAAATGAAGCACTAAAAACCTGACCCTGGCAGAAGCTTATAACATAAGTTAAAAGC